CTTTATTTTTTTCAAAATTGGTATTGCTAAGCGATTTGAAATTTTCATTGTTTTGAAAATCAATGCTGTATCTTTTTGAGACTTTTATTTTATGTTTCTTTTCTACTACCTTATTTCATGTATTTCTTTTTACTATTTCTTTTATCTTTGTATTTTATTTGCCATTTCATTTTGATTGAAGTCGACATTGGGTGACTTATTTTCAGCATTTCTTTTTTTTTTTTTTTCCAAATGTATGCCTTTACAAGCTCCTCTTTCTTTTACATGCCACTTTAGTTTTTAGGCAAGTTTTAGAAACCAACACTATGTGAACATGGAATGTGTACTTGTACTGTCACCAGTGAGTTATGTGAATACACAAAGACTTGTCTTTCACAGAAATCTGTTAAGGACACCATGTTTTGAAAGGGCGAGGATTGATATGGTGATGTGCAAGAGAAGTCATGAAACAGAATGAGAAAAGTGACTTCAAAGTGTGTGTCTATGTTGTACTACAACATAGGAGGCACATTAAGGCACTGAGGGGACAGCACCTAGTAAGAGTGTGTTCCAGTGAGCTTAGGCTTCTCCTTTTGGATTTGTTTTATAATTTATTCAGAAAAGAAACATTAATTATGCAACTACTACATTACAGACACTGCCCTAATGAGTTGGCATATAACCATGAGAAAGGGTTATAGTCTCTGCCTTCATGGGATGAATATACTTACAAAATAAGAGAAAGCCAATAAATGCAATATAATTTAAGTAGGTATAAATGTTAGGAACCAAGGTAAAGCAAGCTAAGAAAACAGAGTTGGAAGAATGACCTTTTAAATCCAATGGCCAGAAAAGTCTTGTTTGAGGCCTAGAGGTTTGAGGAGGGATAAATGAAGTGAGGGAACAAAACTTTGGAAGGTATCAGAGAACAATGTTCCAGGTTTCATGAGTAGAAAAGACAAAATCCCTGAGATAAAAGTGGGCTTAGAATTGAGAAATGGCACAAAGTACACGCCTGGAGTGAAGGGGAAAAAGGAGTGAGTGGCAAGAGATGTGTTTGAAGAGTAATTCCAGGGCAATAGACCTTCTTGAGAAGTTTTTATTAAATACTGTGAATAAAGAAGAAAAAGGGATGAATGTATTAGTAAAGTTTTATTCCTTGAAGTACATTTATCAGTAGGTAGTTTGCACTGTACACTTGTGTTTTTTATGTGGATTACAGAATGAGATTATAGATTAATGCTTCAAAATATGTGAGTGGAAGTGAGAGGCAAGTACAGAGAGAAGACGGAAAGAAAGCTAGTGACAAAGAGATAGAGAGACAGAATGAGATGAGAGAGAGTGGGAAAGAGAGAGGATTGATTTATAAAGTAATGAAGAGTACAGGATTGGATCTGAGCCAATAAATCAGGCATTCACCAGGGAGTTTGAAATTTAATTTAAAAAGAAGAAATCATACAAATTATTGATGGTAAAAAATGAATTATTCGGTAAAATAAAGAACCAATGAAGAATTTTTGTTCTCCAATCTATGTAGGGAGAAAGGGATTGCAAAACAAATTTGAAGTGCCTTTTAGTTAAGCTGTGCCAATGTGTCATAGAGACAGCAGTTCCTATCCCAATGGAATTAGAGTTTTAGTGAACACATAAATACCTTGTCTTCAGCATGTTAAATTGTGCACTCATGCAGGTGCCAAATGGTGTTCAAAATGATGCGTGTTAGAGATTTAGAGATCAAGGTAAGTCATATCAAGGGTCAGCTGCAAAATACAATAGGAGAGATGGGGAAAGGCTTATGTCAATCTTACAAGGAGAGATAGAGGACAAACAGTATAAAGAGAGAAAGCACAATCATACTCATGATCTCCCAAGACTACACATGCTTTTCTACATTCACATAAACCTGTGACCATGCAAAATTTCCCACATGAAACCAACAAGACTGCAAAGCTGTTGAGGAAGGTGATGTAGCAATATATCCTATAGCTCTTTTTTCTGAACCTTATGTACAGGAGCTCCAATGTGATAGCAAGAGGGCAAGACTTATTCCTGTTTTTTATAGAATAGTATTAAGTATAGTAAAGGTAATCAGTAAATACATATTTAATAATTACATTTTTAAAGAAATGAATTGTAAACCATGGACCTGAGGAATGGAGTCTTTTAAAAATAGAATCCATATTTAAGGTGATAAAGAAGCTGATAAAGGAAATGAGGTTTGATGCTGGAGCGATGGGCATGAGACTGAGAGATTAAGCAGGTACAAAATTAAAACATGTACATTTTCTCTTCTGCTTACCCTCATCTGACATAGGACATGAAACGAGGTGTGTATGAAGACTTTGTAAAGGATATTGGATTAAGGTGCTATAAAAAGATGTAAGGTTACAGAAAATGTCTACCAGATATAACTCTATGTAAACCTTAGTCTTAGAAGGTCAAAAAAAGGTGCTGGAACCTAGTTTTATTTCTGAACCCAACACACATTGGAGATTATACAAATGCATGTTGGAATAATAGGTCAGCATACAGTCATTGACTAAGGGACTGGATATTTTGAGAAATGTTTGTAGACTTGGAAGTGATCTTTTCTCAAATAAAAATACCAGTTATAAAACTTACTTGGAAAAATCCACAAAATATGTGTGATAAATTGATTTTCATGATATATAGCCTTATTTTATCTTGATGAGTTTCTGTTGTACCAAGAGTGACTAAGATACCAGATATTCCTTAGAACGTACACAGAGTTCAGTGGACATTTTACTGTATCGTTGTAAAAAGTAATGCAGAGGACCAAGGTTCCAGGCCTTTGTCCTGGCGGGACAACATATTTCTTTTCCTCACTTTGTCCTTGTTTTTTTCTTTATAGAGCATAATATATATGTTATTATATAGAGAGAATAAAATATACAATGTATAATTATATACTATACAATAGTATATATAATATATATAAAGTAATTTCTCTTTAAGTCACAACCAAAGCCCAACTTCTTCCCTGGAATTTTCATTGCCCCATTTCCACACCTACAACATTTGTTGTGTGTTTCTGTCATAGCACTTGCAATGCAGCTTTCAAATTTCTTCTTTGGAATTGCGCTCTGTTTACACTGTGGGTTTTTTTCCAAGAAATTTTGCCTTATTTTTCTAAAACGAAATTAAACTTCTCTATATCCCATGCTACCTGTTGGCAGAAAACATCTTTCCATTCAGTTTCAACAGAGACCATGAGCAATTGATGGCAATTTCTTCCACATTCCAAAATGAGACATGGATCCGCTATTCTAAGGGAGGCGGGTTGCTGCATTGTGGTCTTTTTGAGAGTGTTTGACAGATACTACTGAAATGAAAGCTGGCTGGCAAATATAGGACCTCTTACATATTTGATGGATTAAATTGTGAAGTGTACCCTTACGCATCCCTCATGTATTATTAACTAATGGGGAAAAAAAGAATTGTGTCCTTTTTTTTTTGTACTTTAGATTCTGGGGTACATGTGCAGATATGGAAGATTGTTGCATAGTACATTCATGGCAAGGTGGATTGCTGCCACCATCCCCCCATCACCTATACCTGACATTTCTCCCCGCATTATCCCTCCCCCCCACCCTCCCTCCCCCTATCCCTCGCCTAGCCTCCCCCAATGGACCCCAGTGTGTGATGCTCCCCTCTCTGTGTCCATCTATCTTTGACTTTTTAAATTACAGATCTGAAAACTTTAAGCCTATTCTCAACAGCCTCAATAACCATGTATATATTCTTCTTCTTGAAAGAATTTCCCGGATATTCTCTGATTTCTGCTAACCGTCATTCGCTTCAAATGAATAGGTTTTGTTGAGACATTTGCCTTTTTACAGGTTTAAAGTAGAGTGAATTGTTCCTATTTTCTCCTCATGGAGACCAATCAACTCTGACTTCTTTGAGCCTCCATATAATCTCAAATCTGAATCAAAGTGTTCTGTGCAATTGTGCAATTCATGGTCTGTCACTTCCACATTATCTGTAGAGCTAGTTTTAGGAAAGAATTTGCTCAATAATAAACATTTCTCGCATTGATTTTTGAAAAATTTAATTTATTATAAATGAGTGCAGAATTTTTCCGTAGACAGGAAAAGTGTTACAAAACAAAATCATATAAATTCTTTTCTTTCTGTGCTGTGAAAAGCAAGGTTTCATAAAGACCCTAACATACCAGATGGAGAACAGCATTGATAGGAAATATGTTGTAGAATAAAGTCATTCTCCCTGTCCATGTAAATCTGAGATAATATTTAATTGTGCAGCAGAAAAAAAAAAACCCTCTCTAGAGTTTCTTTAATGCATGTGTTTTTTAGTGGTTCTATATATGGTGCAATTATGTAAATTAACCTTTCATTCCATTTTTAATTTTAAATGCAAAATACTTTCCATTAATTATCTTCCTTTAATTTTATTTACCCAATTTCCAAAAAGATTGGATACATTTTTCTTTTTGCAAAGAAGTTGTCATAATCAGGGAGTTGTTTATTTTCTGAAACATCACATTAAAATTTTTTGCCATCTTGTTTTCAATTTATTAACTTAACATTTAAAATGAGAAGTCTTAAGTGGTATATAAAAAATAGACTTTTTCTCTCTGCTCTAAAAGTAAACCCACTAGTACTCTAAAACTAATTTACAAATGCATAGACACACACACACACGCACTTTCAGTGCACAAATACAACCTTTAGTAAGGGACTAAGATAGATGACAAGTAATAAAAATCAGCCTGAAAGTTAAGAGAAATGGGTGTAAAACTATCAGATTCATATATTCTGAAAGCTTATTTTTAAAATCGGTTTCTGCTTAGACTCCCATTATAAATTTCTATCAGGCAGATAGAGATTTCTCCCCACTTTGTTCCTCATGTGTAATAAATTCTGGTAGGAAAAGTGGCAATCCAATGAAGCTGATTTTATTATTGGTTGTGCTTCATGATCATATGAGCCCAGGAGAATAAGAGGTATTTTACTCTTTTTCAGAGAGGAACCAAAAAAAAGTACAATGTTATTTTTTATTTTACCAGGAATCAGGATAAAGTGAGAACTGGAGCAAGAATCACTAATGGAAAGTCAATAATTGTCACTGATAGACACAACAGCGTTATGTGACAGAAACAATGCCTATAGCTAATAACACCCAGTTCCATCCTTCTTCATTCCTACTGCTGGGCATCCCAGGGCTAGAATATGTGCACATTTGGATTGGAGTCCCTTTTTTCTTCCTGTATCTTGTTGCACTCCTGGGAAACGCTGCTGTCTTGTTTGTGATCCAGACTGAGCAGAGTCTCCATGAGCCTATGTACTACTTTCTGGCCATGCTGGATTCCGTTGACCTGTGCTTATCCACAGCCACCATCCCCAAAATGCTGGGCATCTTCTGGTTCAGCCTCAAGGAAATATCTTTTGAAGGCTGTCTTTCTCAGATGTTCTTCATCCATTTCTTCACTGTCATGGAGAGCATTGTGTTGGTGGCCATGGCCTTTGACCGCTACATTGCCATTTGCAAACCCCTTCGATACACCATGATCCTCACCAGCAAAATCATCAGACTCATTGTAGGCATTGCTGTCCTGAGGAGCCTGTACATGGTCGTTCCACTGGTGTTCCTTCTCTTAAGGATGCCCTTCTGTGGACACCGTATCATCCCACATACTTATTGTGAGCACATGGGCATTGCTCATCTGGCCTGTGCCAGCATCAAAGTCAACATTATGTTTGGTCTTGGCAGCATTTCTCTCTTGTTATTGGATGTGCTCCTTATTATTCTCTCCTATGTCAGGATCCTCTATGCAGTCTTCTGCCTTCCCTCCTGGGAAGCTCGATGCAAAGCTCTCAACACCTGTGGCTCTCACATTGGTGTTATCTTAGCCTTTTTTACACCAGCATTTTTCTCTTTCTTTACACACCGTTTTGGCCATGATATTCCTCCATATATCCACATTTTCTTGGCTAATCTATTTGTGGTTGTTCCACCAGCCCTGAATCCTGTAATCTATGGAGTCAGGACCAAACAGATTAGGGAGAAAGTGCTGAGGATTTTCTTCAAGACAGATCACTAGCCAATTGAAGTTTGGAGGGTCTCTGTTAGCATTCTTGATTCTTCCATTTTTAAAAAGTAAAGTTATCTTATTTCTGATATGGTAAAAAAAAAAAAAAAAGGAAGGCAGAGTGGAATATCACAACCAATAACTTTATTTAACTGTGAATTGAAGTTTTTGCTTTTAAGGGCAGTTATTTACATATTAGAATTTTTATAAACTCTACTTTTCCAAGTTTAAAAAAATTTTATTTCTGGATCCCCAAGACAGTCCTTATAAAGTATATATTATTTTTTCCACTTTCGTGATGAATATCTTGATATTTGGAAAATTTAAGTGATGTATTTATATTCCATGTTTCGTACAAAGTAGTAATTTAAGCCAATTACATTGCCTCCAAATTATGATCATTTTTTCTTATTCCAGGATGTTTAAGAATTGAATAGAATACAGTTGCTATTTTCAGAGATCATAGACGAATTAAGTGGTTAGGCAGAATTCATAAAATAATTAAGTTTTCCCAAATAGTAATATCACCCTACTCTAAATGCAGTATATGTATAAAGAGACATTGATAAGAATACTTTACTCTCATACACTCACATTGTGCTCACCATAATCCTACCTTAGTCGTTACTACAATTTTCCTCATGCCACATAATGATGCAATCATAGTAATGAACTTAAAGATTAAAGTATAAAAAGGATATAAACATAACATACATTCATAAATATTTTATTTATTTTTTATTTACTTATTTAAATAACATTTATACAATACGTAATATGAATGTACAGATGTATGCAGATATAGATGTCAGTACTTCTACCATGTTTCATGTGTAGGTTTGCAAGCAGTAGAAGAATTCAAAAACATAGTTGTTTGTCTTTAAGCACTTACATTGGGAAAGAAGATATAATAAGTTGGTCCTAAGTAGTGCTAATAAATGTTTTTTCCTCTGAGGATTTGCAAGTTGTGTGATAATTATCAATTTCCTTCATAGAGGAATAACAAAAAATTTGGAGGAAAATGGCTTAGGAAGAAGGCCTTGAATATATGTTCTTTATTGCTGCTCTCTGTCCGCCATTTATATGGTTAAGATACAGCATTAGGCAGTAGATCACACAAGTCACATGTTGAGTCTGTAAAGCAAAGATACATAAATTTAACTGTGACACAGTCATCTCCTACCAAAAGCAGCCAGTAGGTAATTCACTGGACAGCCAGACTGGAACAGAATATACTTGTGCAGAAATAGTTTTTGCCTTCTCCCCGCAGACACCGTGCAGTAGTTGAGCACATTCTGTCTTGGAAGCAGGAAAGCTACAAAGGCTTCTTACAAAAATGAAAAGTTGAGCAGTTTAATTTATGTTTATTTTACGTCTCTTTGCTTTTAAGTCTCCTCAACAGGGAAATGTGTTAACATCAGATGTGGTGTATTTATTAAGAATCCCAAGTGGTAAAGTGATTATCTTGGAAGAAAAAAGAATAAAGATGACAATCAAAGTGAAAGAGCCCATGCCAAGGCTCGTGTGGTGGAACAAGAAACTAGATGGCATCTAACATGATTTGGTTGTGTCCCCACTCAAATCTCATCTTGAATATTTGCTCCCATAATTCCCTCATGCTGTGGAAGGGACCCAGTGGGAGGTAACTGAATCATGGGGGCAGTTCCCCCATACTGCTCTTGTGGTAGTAAACTTTCTAGAGATTTGTTGAGTGGCTTTGACCAAAATGCTGTTAATGATATGGACAATGAAATCCAGTCTGAGATGGTCTCAGATGGAGATGAGGAACTTGTTGGGAACTGGAACACATTTGTTGGGAACTGGGACTTTTTATGTTTTAGCAAAGAAACTGGCGGCATTTCACCCTTGCCCTAGAGATTTGTAAAACTTTGAACTCAAGAGAGATGATTTAGGGTATCTGGCAGAATAAATTTCTAAGCAGCAAAGCATTCAAAATGTGACTTGGGTGCTGTTAAAGTTATTCTGTTTTATAAGGGAAGCAGAGCATAAAAGTTCAGAAAATTTGCAGTCTGACCATGTGTTATAAAAGAACATCCCATTTTCTGAGGAGAAACTCAAGCCAGTTGCAGAAATTTGCAAAAGTAACATGGAGATAATATCTCATTGTAGTTTTGATTTGCATTTCTATGATGATCAGTAATGATAAGCATCGTCTCATATATTTGTTGGCAATCTATATGTCTTCTTTTGAGTAATGTCTATTAAAATCTTTTGCCACCAGGTATGGTGGCTCATTCCTATAATCCCAGCACTTTGGGAGGCTGAAGTGGGCAGATTATTTGAGTCTAGGAGTTGGAGCCTAGGCAAAGGACAAAACCTCATCTCTACAAAAAATACAAAATTAGCTGGGCATGGTGGCACATGCCTGTAGTCCCAGCTACTCGGGAGGCTGAGGTGGGAGGATTGCCTGAGCCCAGGAAGTGGAGGTTGCAGTGACAAAAGAAAGGAAGAAAAGAAGAAAAAGATCTTTTGCCCATTTGTAAATCAATTACTTATTACTATCATTTTGCTATTGAGTTGTTTGAGCTTCTCATATAATTTAGTTATTATACCTTGTTAAGTGGAGCAGTTTGCAAATACTCTCTTGTTTTGTGGGTTTTCTCTTCACTTTGTTGGTTGTTTTCTTTGCTGTGTCAAACTCTAGCTTAATGTGATCCCATTTATTCACTTTTGCTCTCGTTACCTGTGCTTTTGAGGACTTACTCAAGGAATTTTTGCCCAAACTAATAACCTAGAGTGTTTCTCAAATGTTTTCTTCTAGTAATTTTATGGCTTTGAGTCTTATGTTTGTCTTTAATCCCCTGTATACTTATACCACATGCACATTGTATTTTTTAAAAAGAATATATTGAATGGTACTTTCTCATTTAAAAACTGTTTATAAAAATTTATCATACATATAAAAAATTTAAAAATAAAACAGAACGACCATATAGCTACATTCAACAATTATAAATATTTTCTCATATTTTACAATCCCTCTCACATATAATTTCTTACTGAATGAGAGAAAACCCGATGAATACAATATAATTTTAGGTAGGTAAAAGTGTTAGAAATCAAAATAAAGCAGGCTAAGAAAATAGATTTGGAAGGGTTACGATTTTAAATCCAATGGCCTGAAAGAGCTTCTTTGACATCTAATCATTTGAGGAGAGATGAATGAAGTGAAGGAGCAAGACTTCGGAAGGTATCAGAGAACAGTGTTCCAGGGGTTAGGAGCTGAAAAGGCAAAATCCTTGGGATAAAGGTGAGCTTAGAATACAGAAATGGCACAAAGTACATGCCTGGAGTGGAGGGAAGAGGAAAAAGGAGTGAGTGGTAAGAGATGCTGTCTGGTTTGTGATTCAGACTGAGCAGAGTCTCTATGAGCCCATGTACTACTTCCTGGCCATGTTGGATTCCATTGACCTAGGCTTGTCTATAGCCAACATCCCCAAAATGCTAGGTATGTTCTGGTTCAGTCTCAAGAACATAATATCTTTTGGAGGCTGCCTTTCTTAGATGTTCTTTATCCATTTCTTCACTGTAATGAAGAGCACTGTGTTGGTGGCTATGGCCTTTGGCCGCTACATTGCCTTTTGCAAACCCCTTCGGCACACTATGATCCTCACCAGCAAAATCATTAGCCTCATAGCAGGCATTGCTGTCCTGAGGAGCCTGTGCATGATTGTTTCACTGCTGTTTCTCCTTCTGAGGCTGCCCTTCTTTGGGGACCATAACATCCCTTATACTTGCTTTGAGCACATGAGCTTTGCCTGCCTGGCCTGTGCCAGCATCAAAGTCAACATTATGTTTGGCCTTGGCACGATTTCCTTATTGTTACTAAATGTGCTTCATATTATTCTCTCCTCTATTTGGGTCCTCTATTCAGTCTTCTGCCTGCCCTCCTGGAAAGCTTTACTAAAACCACCCAACACCTGTGGTTCTCATATTGGTGTTATCTTAGCTTTTTTTACACCAGAATTTTTTTTCTTTCTTGACACATTATTTTGGCCATAATATCCAACAATATACACATATTTGATTGAACCACCTATATGGGGTTGTTGCATCAGCCCTCAATCCTGTAATCTATGGAGTCAGGACCAAGCAGGCTCAGGACAGAGTAATGAAGTATCAGTCCTCAAGACTGATCACTAATCCACTGGAGATCTGTCTTAGAATTCAGGTTTCTTTCATTGTTAAAAATATAGTTATCTTTTGTCTAACCTAATAGAAAGTAAGTACACAGAGCGAAATGTTGCAATAAATAACAACATGTTACAAATAACATTATTTATTTGTAAATTGAAACGTTTATCTTTAAAGGTAATAATGAGAATATTGGAATTTGTATTAAATCTACTTTTGCTAGTATGTTCATTTCAGTTTCTGGATTCTCAAGACAATTCTATGAAGTTTATGTTACTTTTTCCACTATTTTGATGACTATATTGATGTCTGGAAGGTTAAGTAATTTATTCAAATTCCATATTTAATAGAAAGTAATAATTTAGTCAATTAGGTTGCCTCCAAATTATAATCATTTTTTTCTTATTCTAAGATGTTAAAAAATTGAACAGAATACAGAATAAAATCGCTATTAAAAAGAATATGAACAGTGTAAGTGGCTGCCAGGATTCTTAAAACAATATTTACAACTTGCCCTAATATAACAATATTATCCCCCTATACATGCACTGTACAGACAGTGATAATTATACTTTACACACATACAATCTTATTGTTCTTACCAAAATCCTACTCAGTAGTTACTATAATTTCTTTCACACACATAAAAAAGCAGGCAGTCATTAAATTAGAATTTAACTTTGATCATAGAGAAGCAGAGAGGAAAATAGTAGTTACCAGAGGTTGGGAGGGTCAGGGAGGAGGGGGCCTCTTACCATACCAAACATATATATATGTACGTATGTATATCTTTTCCTTCTCCATCTCTCATTGCAATTTGTTTATTATATTATATATTATATCAAGCAATTATGTCAGTCTGCTTATTATATCAATTTG